CTCTTATACAATTTAGCGAGTAGTTGCACGTATCTTCCTGATGTATTCTTTCAGCGAATTTAAATCGAAACTAGTGGAACTATTGGTGGTGGCACCCTTACCAAACTTCCCCTATACATACGTACAGAGTTGTCCTGGGAAATATTGCCACTTTCTCTGAAACGTTTATTAGTCATCGTTGAAACAAGAGAAGCGGGTCTCCTTTGCATGACGTTCTTGTTTTGCGCATATAACTGTGTTTCATCTTATTAAATCGAAGAAGGTGACAGAGATAAAGGACCAATTTGATAATCGGCGTTTCAGTTTGAAAGGGATTAGATCAGATAGGAGAACGTTTCTCTGAACGTTTCGATGAACAATACCATAAGGGAAATGGCAATGTTTTATCGAAGGGCACCACGTTTCATTCCCGATACTTTTAAAGCCAGTTCCTGGTCCGACTACCTTTACCAAGTGCTCTATCGTGCCGTGCGATCGACTTCGTACTTGTGATAGCCCCGGTAAGCACAGCCCTGGCTCGTAACGTTTTATACCCTCGCGTCGCCTGGCACGAGCAGCACGTGATGTAATTAAACCTGACTTTCAGTAGGGGGTCGATCGAGGAAGGTCTCTCATAGAAGGGACGATGAATGATAAAAGAAAGAGAAGAAAAGAAATAATTCGAGCTATCGAATTTAACGATTGATCTCGAAATCCGACGAACGAAGGAGAAAGACACCTAAAACTAAGAACGGGGAACTTGAAGCAGAGGAATAGGGGGGGGGGGGGGGGGGGGGGGAGGGGTTAAATTGACAATGCTCGCGTCGCTCGACATTGCGCCTGTACCATTTTGCTTCTTTAGCAGAGTATACAATGCCATTTATTTTTGTAATACGTTTACGTAGGATAGCTCTTATTTTTATAGGGGTTTACTGTGCTACCGTAAGTCTTATAGAGGCCTGCGTAATAAAGTAGTGTAGGAATTTTTGTAGGTGCCGCAGAGTCCACAGTGGAATATATATACATATATATACATATATATATATATTTAAAAAAAAAAAGGACACGCACTTCTAGTACTGGCTTTAGTTTGAAACGGACACAGAGACGCGCGACACACACACACACACACACACACACATACACGAAAACGAAGGAGAAGAACCTTATTGTCAGGGCAATGATTCTCAAAGCAATCTTTCCGCGGGCGAGGGAAAGGTGTGGGAAAGAAATGAGAGATCTGGCAGGGGTATTTCCGCGTGAGGGGGAAAAAAAATATATTAGCGCACTTTGAATTATAGCAATAAGAGATATTCCTCGGCGATGGCGGTCGCGATAAAATGAGCGCTCCGTTTTCTTTTCATTCTCGAAAGTAAGAATTACTTAATTGCCGAAGCGCGATACACGCGTTTTGCTTGTTTTGACATCGAGGCGGTGATCGTTTCGACTTGAGCGGTTCGCTTGATCCACGCGCCCCAAACTAGATTTAATATGTAAAAGAGATGTACAAAGAGTACCGGCGTGCATCAAGCGGATCACTTGAGGGGAAAGGTTGTAATACGGAGGCACGTCGGGATTGAACAACTACGTTGAGAGATAAATGTCACACAGCGTTTCTGAACCGTGTAGAAATAATCGATAATTCTCACAAGAGATATAGACGAGACAAATGGCGAAAAGGACATACTCATTATTAAACAATGTCCGTCGCTTCTTTTTAATTTGAAATATATTGATATTTTTGTAGCAACCCGACGAAAGATTTGAGACATTTTTCACATGCACGAAATCTGCACATGTATATACATATAACAACGGTCTTCCTCGTCCAACGATATTTTTTTTGCAACGACGGCGGGAGTGTGCTTTGCATTCACTCTTTACAGCTTATATACCGTCATCACTTTTGCAATAACAATGCACAGACAAATAAATCACAATGTAAAGAGGTCCACAATATTTATGAAAAGTTCTATGTAGTTCGAGACGTTCTACGCGACCACGTTTTAAAGTAAGATTTCATTGATCACAAACGATACTAGTCTTGTTACGTATGTTTTAAGTTTGGAAATGAGATACGGTTAATTTTGTAAATTCGAGAGTAGTTTTCGAATTTTTATACACGATAATATATTAATGTTATTTAATCATCTTCATTATAAATGATTTCTCGCTAAATATATCTCACCGTATCAACTATATTGTTTCTTTCTTACGAGCTGTGAAGGGTTAATACATGTTAAATCTGGTCTATCGGGGGTGCTATATAAGAGTCACCAGGCCGTAAGTACAAGCGTAAGTTCTTCTCTATCGCTAATAATTCTCTCAACTCGAGTTTTGAACGGTGCCTAAAAGCCTTGATATTAAAAGACGAACGAAAGCAAGTCCGGAATTGCGTGTCGTCGAATCCTTGATGAGTAACTGATGGGTAAAGGAAGTAAGAGAGGGTTGCTGTTAATCGCGATATTTGACGTACTCGCGTCAGTAATGTCGCGTTTTAAAAATCACAGGAGGAACAAAATTACGATATGATATACGACGATAAGATATACCTATGTACCGTCGATGCGTAGAAAGTATCATGTCACGTGTTATATATACGCAAGTGTGTGTATGTATGTACGTACGTATGTATGTATGGTGTAAACAAGGGGATTATCCGTAGCGCTCCGTTAAGGGAGAATAAAGTATATATAACTAAAAGAAATAATAAACGCTACCGAACTAATATAAACGACAATGAAGAAGTAGGTAGATCTACGCCGATTTATGTATGTACGTAAAATAAAATGTAAGAATCGCGAGTAACGTGCACTTTTGTAATAGTCATTTTGCGAAAAACGATTTAAAAAAAAAAAAAACGATAACAGAAGAAACAAGACAAATGATAGCAGAGATAATAAAAAGTTGACGCTTGGTATACCATAGTTTTTATCGACATATCCTATCCGACACATCCTCCTTACGTACATACTGCGCATACCTAGTTATTATTGCAGGTACATGTTATATATAGGATATTTTATGAGCAAACGATACTAATATAATTACGATTATTATTATTGTAATTATTTTAATTATTATCATTATCGAAATATTAATTACATTATTGTCACATAATTAATGCGGAGGGTATAGGTGCGTATAATATAAAAATGGTACAACTAAGGCAAGCATGTATTGTACATAGCTGTCAATCTTTGCCCCACCATACGAATATAATATACATATACATAAATATATATGTATATATATATATGTAAATGCATACAGCCATTATATATTGCAGAAAAACATTAACCGTTGTTGTATTAGTTATTATTACGAATTATTATTACTTTTCATCCTTATATTATCATTATTATTACTATTATCATTATAATTATTGTTATATCATTGTCATCGTTGTCATAATTATCACTGTCATCGTTGTCGCGGCGTCGATTAATGCTACGTATACTTTTAATTAATGTTACATTATTGTTGACGGAAGTAGCCCCTCACTTATAGCATATGCGGATCAAAAGTTGTATTTATTTGCAGATTGGATTCTACCTCAATCTTATTGTAAACAAAACTACCCAAGTGTCCTCCACACCTATCCTTCCATTCTCTGAATGAAAATTTCATAAGATATAGAGCGTCGTTACAGGCGAGAGACATTGATTTGCAGCGACCTCAAACTGTGATAGTTGTAAAGGATATTTAAATTAAGTTCTTTTTTTTTTGCGCTGTATCGAGGTACGTATGTACATTATAACTCATCGATGAATTTTGTGAACGAAATATATGTTTAAATTTGACGTAAGCTCATTACATAATTATATATGATAAATGTGGTATAAAACAAAATAGATCATCAATTATTACGTGGATATTGAATTTCGTTTTCAGTTCCATTATCTTATGGCAAGGTCGTTTTAAAATTATGTTAATTTTGTAATGAGCTTCATAATTTTCGTTTGCAAATATTGTACGTTTCGGAATACGCTTTTAATATTAGATTTACGTTGTATTGATTTAATAGAAAGTATTTATGTGTATCCCAATTTATTTCAGTCATATTGTCTATGTAAAAATGAAATATGTATTTTATGTGGAAGATTCTATCAAAATGTCATATACTCGTATATATTATTATATTGCAATGTGTATATCACGTTTGTAATGTAATTGTATTTTATACAGATTGTGAGTACGCGATACTGTATAAAACACAGAATTTTTTTTAAACATGATCAAACATGTACTATGAACAGATGCTGTGCACTTGTGATCTAACAGTTTGTGATGTCATTGCGCATGATACAGATTTTTTTCTTTCTTTATTTTACGTGAAATTAGATTCGCGCAATCGCGAAAATTGAAGCGTTACATCGCGATATGGGTTCCTTTATTGATATGTTGCGCAAGAATTAGTAGTGTTAGTTGTAACTGCCTATGGGGCCTCGATTATTTCAGTGTATTATTATATTGTGATGTTAGCTTAAGCTCTCGCGCGAACCGAGATCGGAGATTTGTAACTGAGGTTGCTGTAAAATCAATCTTATCGCTAAGGTGAGGGATCACTTTCATAATTTTTTAGGCTACATGAAGTACGCCCAGAAGCCGATGTCGATTGTCCTCGAAAAATAAGAAAAGTAAAAATGTATCCCGCGTAATTGTGTTGAATGGCAAAATGCGATGTTTGGGAACTGTATATTGTGATCAGCAAACAGACTACAATGTAGTTTGTTCGTAATAAAATGAACAAACAGAAATACTTGTGTAATAAAGTAGGTATCCATGAACAAAAAAATGGTCATATTTTTTGCTAATATCCATTCAATAATAAAAGCACATAACATTCATATATATTATGATCATTTCATATTTTCATAAATACAAGCATTATATTTGTGAAATCTGATCGACAACAGAATAAGTAACTTAGAATTTTTTACATATATACTTTTTTATTTATAATTTATACACTTTACAAAATTAATGTATTAAAATTAAAACTTTTGAGTAAATTATTTTTACTCAATTTCGACATCAACTATAGCATCCTCTACGATTACTTGCTCAGATGCTACAGGTACTTGTATTATCGGCAAGGGATCGGGTGATCGAGTGTAAGTATTACTTGTCGAATGTTCTTTAAAATACTCTCCACCTTTCTCCTCGTATTCTTTGCGACTGACTAAATACTCAGGAAAATTACCATTCAAGCCGAAATCTCTTGCACCATACCAGGCATCTAAACTGGTATTTTTTGCAATATTTACTTGAAAGTTTGATCCAAAAGGTCTCATTTCGCGTAATTCACGTTTTAATCTTTCTAATAATCCTGGGAAAGCTGTGGATCCACCGGTAAGAAATACATTGCTTACAAGACGCGTTTGTTCTACAGAAGGGTACTGTTTTAAAACAAATTCGATTGTTTCGGCAATCCCAGCTTCTACAGAACCAACCATAGATGGTTGAAATAACAATTCTGGTGCCCGTAAACGTTCCACGCCTACATGAAGCTGATGAGTTTCCCCAGGAACCATAGGAACGCTAGATCCTGCACTATCGAATTCTGGATCGTGATGACGTAACACATCTTCCAATTCTAGCAGTTTTTCCTGTTCTAATTCTGAATCTGAATCGCCGCCTTCCTACACAAAATAAAATATTTTATAATAAAAAAATATCAATTCATATAATTTCACATAAAAAGAAAAATATATACCCTATTTATGACTTTGTATACGTCCCAGTCTTCATCTCGCATGCCAAAATCGTCATCGCGCTTTTCTTTTTTTGCTAACTGACTAATTATACGCATCCTTTCCTGTGCGGCGGCTGTTCTTCGCTTTGCCATGTCTTGCCTTCGTTGTCTTTTTGCCATGCGTTTGTCTAATATTTCTTGTCTGTAAGAAATAAAGAATTAATAATCTGTTAATGGATAAGCATATAAGCGCTGGATATTATCAACATTAACAGAAACTACCTTTTTTTTCTAACTCCAGTTATCCATTCATCAAAGTCCTGTTGATCCCTAGGATGAAAGTTTGACTTAATTTTAGGTTTCTCTTCCATCACTATATTTTCCTCTTGTGAGTTAGCAGCAACGATTTTCTGTCTGGTTCTTTCTACTTTTGCTTGTAGATTATTTATCATTTTTATTAAATCAGCTTCATTTGCAAGAGAGTAAGATTTCAATGCCTGGTCAAATTCATCGATTTCGCCTTCTTCTAGAAGATCTTGAACTGCTAGCAATTGATTAAGTTGCTCTTCATCTTCTGCTAACTGTAGATACGGGATGCACAATCAAACATTAAGTAATAATAGTATAACAAAATATATAAATAAAAGTATAAAATACCAACTCTTTCTTCTCTCTTTCTCGCATTAATTTCCATTAATCGCCGTGCTAATTCTCGTTTTCTTTCTTTCTGTTGCTCAAGCGTCAGACCGGGAGCAGTGGTTGGTGCAATGTATGGTAATTGCACTCTTAAAACATGTATGTCATAATAATCTGCATCTGCCCATTTGGATAATTCTTCTTGATAGTTTAAAGCAATCATCGAATGCTCATGTATCAATTCCTGGAAATTATAAAACAGACATTTAATTGAAAAATAACTGTTGAAAAATAAAATTTAAATTTTATTTCTGACCCTTATTACATTATAATATGTAATATATACCTCTGCTCGACTAAGTGTTATTGCATTAACATGCACTGGATATTTCAATTGAAGGAGTTTATGCATATACGATGTGATGTGAAATCCACCAACATTGATTCTTCTTGCGTTCATAGCATCTGCTTTCCCATCTAGTATTGGTATTATATGAGTTGTATGATAGCCTACACTAACTATTAGACCATCAGGTGGACAGTTGTTATGCTGATATGAAAATAAGCAGTCAATTCCATAGGTCACTGATGGTACATTATAACATTCAAATAATAATTCTGCCATCACTGAAATACATGAATATCAAAATTTTTATTGAGAATTAAAAATAACCGAATAAATTACTGTTTACTTACAGTTACGAGAATAATTAGGATTGAGGAATGCTTCTGTCAATATAATTGGATGATTTACGCCGCCTTCTGTATCTATACCCATGTGTGTAAATGTATAATCAAATATCTGTTCTTGAGCCTCAAAATGCGTTACTACATTTCGATCAAATTGAGTTTTTAATTGAAATCGAACAGCTTCGATGTTTGCTATATCATTTCCTACTTGAGGTTCCCCATCTTTTTTACCACGTTCCTTTCTTGGTTTCGCTATGAGATTCTTGAATATCAATTGTGGTTCTTTTTCAGTAGCCCAACCAACTCTACAATTGTAGGATCCTAATGTCAAACAATGCTATTAATTTATGATATGACATAATTAGAATAGGTATACACAACAAATTACCATTGTCAATAACGAGTGGTGTACACTCAGACTTTACTCGTTCCGGATAAATGTGTATTATATCCGATATGGTCTTTATATCTTTTAATTCAATCAATTCCATTTCCATTCTACCAGGATACACTTGGGAAACATTTAATTAATATAAAAGTAATCAAAAGTCACACACAGTAGCGATAATGCTTAGGATTTGAAAATTATAAATTAATTGAACTTTCGCCTTTATCTGTCTTTAAAATACACGGAGTTCAAATCATCTCGCAAATAGTTGCAACAGGACAACATAACCTATCCATAAATCTGTTCGAGTTGTCTGCACTTTCTGTACTCAGCATCTTCTCTCTCTCTCTCTTTCCCCAACAGCACTAAATATGTATTCATCTCATTTTAAGTGCAAACATTTGTTGAGGATTTTGAGCAACGCGAACAGACTTCATGGCTTGCACAGAACTGCCAATCTATAAATATAAAAGAACTGAGATATTTGTTTGGTAAATTATTCGCTTGTCTGATTGCTGATTGGTCAATTTTTTGATCAATCATGACAGAATTATATTTGAATTTAAATTTGAATTATATTAAAAAATAAATAATAAATTTAAATAAAAATTTGAAAAAATTTAACTTTTAAGAGAAACGGAAAAATTTATTACAAACATAATAAAATATTTAAGCATTCTTATAATTAGTATAGAATTGCAATATTGGATATCAAAGTTTTCGTGAAAATTAGTCCTTTTATCATGCAAATAATAAGAATTAATACATTACATCTAAAAATTGTAGTTTGCATTATAAATATACATTTTTACTTGCGAGACTTATTAAGAGTTTTACTTTTTCATTATTCTCTGGAAATTCTATATATTGAATTTATTATTAATATTGGAATGTATATAATTCCGCGATATATTATATATATATAAATTGTATTTGTAATAAAGTACGTTATGTCTATTATTTACGTGACAAACAATGCAAGTGCTAAAGCAGATGTCATTCATCTTAAAACATACGAATTAAATTATGAATGTTCATGCAACGTGCAAGAGATGTATTATTTATCGGAGTAACATATAATTCCAAGAGAACCTTGAAGTATACATACATATATTTAATCACACCAAAAATCGCGATATCGCATGCAAAAATTCGTCATGTAATTTTCACAATGGATTCACGAGAAAACTCTGCAACTATTCTATACGAGAGCTTTCTCGCTTATCTTGCCCTTTCGCCCGATACAAAGTGATCGCTCGACGAAAATTTGTCGCGATATTTCGTGTATAAACAGACCTTTGTTACGTGGTATCTTAAGCGGAATTGCTTCCAGCGGAATAGCTACCATGAGGCATTGGACTTTGTAACTGTTCTGTGCTCGATAAGACAATATGTTCCTCACAATGAACCGCTGCATAGGAATAGGGTATCTGTTGTAACGATTCAAAAGGGAAAGACGAAACGTTAAGAGGGAATTTGTAGGTAAAGCTATAAAGCCTTGAAGCTATAAAGTCAATGAAATACACATGTATAATCACAAACACTATAATCTTGAAACTATTATAATTTACAGTGTCTTTTAATAATTTCTCTTAATATTCGTATGGTATATGTATATATTACTTTCGTTTGTGTTTAACAAAAAATGATACAATATTAACACAACTATTGTCTGAACACATTTCATCGTATATATAAAAGAGAATAAGAGTAGGCATAATCTTTGAGATATGAATTTAATTTCATCATGGTAATGATGATAGCTTTATTAAAATTATGTTATAATTAACTTTAATATTTTATAATTTAATAATTAATTAAAAATTAATTTTGTTCTAATTAAAAATAATTATTTCCGTATTGTATATGGATAGAATAAATTTCTCGAGAAATTTTCATACTGAGCAATTAAAATTTTAACAATGATCGATTACTGCCGGTAACATATTCGACCATAATTAATACTGAAATTCCATCCGTTATATTACTCAGGACGTAATGTTAAACTAAAAGCTTTCGACGTGAGAAAAACGGAGAAAAGTGGACGCGTTCAACCCACAGAGAGAGAGAGAGAGAGAGAGAGAGAGAGAGAGTCGTTCTTCTAATTCATTAACTTTTCCAAAATTTAAGGTCGTTTTCAATTAGAGAGAATATTCTCGCTCATGGGCTATACTCTTCATGGAGGGCGGTCGATCTTCTCGGTGCGGTACGTTGTGTGCTACAAAAGGATGGCCAGAGGTCTAATTGCAGCCATCAACGAAAGCCGGCGGACCGGAAGCGGGCGGAAACTTTGAGCATTCTTCCTGAGGTCCTCCATCGGATCTCGTCGGGCGCGTTGAGAGAATTCCACGGCGGTATAGCCGCGCTTTGCGCTCCTTCTCCTTCGCGGGCGCAAAGGCTTTCGTCCATTTTTCAGTATTAGGAGGAAGCGATAGCCGCTGAGGCGATCGATAATCGATATCCGTAGAGCGCGGGAGCTCGTAAACTGACCAAACAACGAGATGTAGGGGGCCCGATTGGTTTAGCTTCGTGGAGAGCTAGTACAGGTGTGCGATTGGTTGAGCAGGTGAGCGATTGACTCGACCTATCGGGCTTCCGTTTACCTCTTTCGTTTCTGCCTTTAGCTTTTCTTCGGTCTATTTGCGGCACGGAGTTGTATAAAGCACGCGCGGGATCGAGCTGCGAGAACAGTTTTATGAAACACGAGGAATTTTGCGGAACGTTTGCTTCGTATTGGCCTCGCTAGGTTCCTTATTTGCCGCAGGCCTCTTCCTCTACTTACTTTGTCTTTTCAATGTCTTAAGACTTTGGCCGATATTCATAGGCAATTCTTATAATTGAGACTGTTTTAAGTACAGTCTTAATCTTAAGGTGTAATTATAATCACAGAATCGTAACATTTTGAATATTACTTAAATATTATACTTAAGACGGTCTTGAAATAAAAATGGATTTCCAGATATACATTATTGTCTAGAAGACTTTTTTTATGGTGTCTTTTACATATATCTTTTAGATGTGTAGTATATATCTTAAAAGACTTTATGATGCCTTTACGACGTCTTTTATAGATATGTACGTTGTCTAGACTATGAATACCGGCCATAAAAAGAATATTTGTGCTATTGATGTAAATGTGAAGTGTATAATAATTGAAAAATTATTTATAATATATTAAAAGATTATTATACATATTAAAATGTGTTTACAGATTTAAGACGCTCATTAACATGTATTATTAATATTCTTATAAAGATGCTTGTTAGCATAAAAAATTATATTAAATTGCTTGTTAATTTAATAAATTTTAATATATTACTACTCTGATTCTGCATCTTTATATATGGTTATGCGCGTTTTAACATTGAGAAAGATGTTGCTTTGACGTCCGCGAACTGATGTATTTTTGCTATTTTGTAATTTTTACTTTGTCGCAAAATTTTTCGCGGTATCATGACCGAACGCTAAATAATAATCTATAAGGAAAGAGCGTCGCTCTGTCGATTATTTTTCGCCTCTCCTCCCCGGGGCGCTCGAATTTGCAGTTTTCGCGGGTGTTAACTCTCGTTGCGCCGTGCAATTTAGCCTTTCAGCGACGTATAATCGCGTTAAAAGTCGAGCTCCAACTCTAGACGAGGCGGTAATCGTCCGTTCTATCCGATAACGAGTTTCGTCTAACTTCGCGACTGCGTAGCAACGCGAGGAAAGAGAACGACAAAATAAAGAGACCGTCCGCGGTGACAGTTGGCAAAGGGTGAGAGAAGATAAAGGATCGTATAGATGGAATGTCGAAAGAAGAGAAATGCTTTAAATATACATAATAGTGCGCAAATGACGATCTAGTATACACACACATATATATATATTGGATAATCTCGTTTTAACGAGCCCTTTTGTCCGAGTTATCCCCGATTGAAATAAATATTTGAAACAGATTTCAAGATTGAGATTGAATACCTCAACGCGTTAATTCGAAATCTCTGCGAGTCTTTTTATTTTATTTCAGTCCGAATATGGAATGTGGTAGTCTGGCATAGAGTTACCGATCAGGATTAATACAGAATAGTGCCTGAGGAGTGAAAGAAAAATATTTAGAAGATTCTTTGAAACTCCGAACTTTCATTATCCCACACGTCTTACGAAAATTATCCTGGACGTTCTCTTGGATGCTTTAAAAAAAGGAGACAGTGTTCTTAATTTTTTTTAAAAAGAAAAGGGGCTAGATGTGTTCACTTATCACGCTCACATGTTACGTAACCATTCCTTGTTATTTGTCAAATATAAATGGAGTTGATTTTATATCTTGAAACGAGATCAAAATTATAAAAATGAGCGAATTTATGAGAATAATTTTTGGTCAATACAAAAGTGAGAAAAATTTGCTCACTTTTGTAATTTTCACTTTGTTTTAACATGCAGAATCCGGTCCCAAGGATAAACGATGCTTACAAATGCTATGAGCGTAAAATGGAACGCACCCAAGGATAGAATGACACAAGTAACGCTAATAGCGTCTCCCCGAACGCACTCTAAATGGAACGTACTTCAAGGCATAATTTTTGAACGCACTTGATTTGCTTAAACGCGACCGTCGCGCCATCTGGACGTTTAGTACTCCCCTCGTGCCTCGAAGAGTCGCATTTGTAAATTTGTATTCTCCGCGCTTTTATATCTATATATCCGGCGCGGCGCGAAAGAAAGTGTGCGCGAATTTCGGAAGTCACGAAAAAACGTGTCGGTCTTGTTAACGAGCGCGAGCTGCTATGATCGATCGATCGTTATATCCGCGTTCGAGCCGCGAAATAACGTTATTTGTTTGTTTGTCGTGTTCGACTCGGCGCGCGCGTCCTTCGTGTCATTCGAGATGTAACGCGCGGGTGATCGATAGCGCGTATCAATATAGTGTCCGGCAAATGGAAGTGCGTCTGTTGGCTATATCGCACTGAAGTGCGTATGGAGTAATTTAGCCGCTTTACGTTACAGCCGTTACGGATACTCGAGTATCGCGGGGTACGTTTGCGCGATCGTTTCGCGTCGATTCGCGCCACGGTTCAGTTCGATTTCGATTCGTCGCGAATTCGGACGCCATTTTGTCGTTGCCACTCTCGGCGTGGCGCGGCGCGTCGAGTCTCTCTTGCCGTGCGAATCGCCGCGC